ATAATCTAAACCTAACATTGCTAGAGTCATATTCATATCATGATTAGATTTAAATGTGTTGATTCAAAAGGAACGTTTGCTGTTCAAGTAAAGTTTGTTATTTTAACGCAATAAAAGTAGAAACTGTACAGCAATCACAACATTTATGAATCTTATTAATGATTAGCAATATTTATAGTTGTTATTTTCCAATGCAACATAAAATCAGTCAAACAACAGAGTCAGAAATGTAAATGCACTTGTCCAACATGTGGTCTTACCGCTCTTAGAGGCCAGTCCAAACAGTTTCCCATCCCAAAAGAGAAAAAAGGCATTAAATAGGACCATGAGTACCTTTTCTTCGTTATGCTTGCAGGTTGAGTTGTGAGAGGCATGCAAACTCTGCTTTTAGCCAGACCCATGAAGACTGGGGTGCTAACCTGAGCCGAAGAAAAACAGTACCTATCTGGAGAATTATCTGAGAGAGTGATATTAAAAGTAGCAAGGAGTGAGGGAGAGTGAAACGAGGGGGTGGCGGGGGATGACAGAGAGAGAAAGCATATGAGGGAGGGATGTGGAAGGAAACAGCATGATGCCTAATAAAGGAAAAGAGATTTCTTAAATACATTTCTTCCATCTGTCACAACAAGCAAACTGGACTATTCAGTAAACACTTCTGACATGTCAGCACAGCACTGGCACTGAAAACACGAGGATAAATTAAGAGCCTGGTGTTCCTCAGAGGAAGCCATGTCACTGAGCTATAGCCATTTTTGTGTTGATCAGTTGTAGAGGTACATCCGATGAGTGTTTCCTGAGAGTTTCATTAAAATCTATGCAGTGTTTGTTAGATATTTTGCTAACAGACAAACAGTGTTGACTTCAATAAGTTCATATCAAAGTTGTAAGCAAATATATTGTGAAATGAATAGAACTTCATGTCGTGAATGACTCTTAGCTGTCGTCATACCAAAGTTTAGCTCAACATCTGTAAAATTCATAGAATTAAAGCTATTTTTGTGTTTTCTATTGTTGCACTGGGTTGACTCAAATCATTATTCAGTGGTAAATGTACATCCAGTGATTACTTTCTTAAAGTTTAAGTAAAATCTGTCCCATGATTCACGTGTTTTTTCCCCCAACAGACCAAGTTCGACATCAAACGAGAAGGGGTTCTCTGCAGACCAAAAGTGGGCGTTTCTGGAGAATAGGTGTTTGTAGGGGGCAAACACTGATTGTCTAGCTGTATTTTATGGCTCTTTAGGTAAGTTACGTCAGCTCTTGTTTTAAAACTGAAGGTTTCTAAGAAACAGTGTTATATTTGCTGTCAAACAAGAAGATTCTCTTTTGTTCTTGGTTGTAGCTGCACCTGACACAGGTTGTCTTGAATGTGGTCTGGGTACAATGAAATATGAAGTATCTGAAGCGAAACCTACTCCCAGTTGTCAAAAAGTCTGGTCTCAATTAAAGATCATGAGCCTGTAACAAGATAACGGCCCAAAACAAAAGCTAAAAACAAAATGTTCTCTTTAGAAGTTCTTCTATGAATCTGATCTATGAAAGAGCTGAAACAAGGAGTAGGATTGATCCTTAAAATGTGAGACAGCTGAGGAAGTTAACCAGTAAACAGAAATACCTGCTCCAGTTGCAGAAATCTTACAGAAACTGACAATCACTCATCTGCAGTGACTGCAGGTTGAACAAGAAAATGTGAAGTTAAAGGAAACATACTTTGTCCCAAGGCCAGTTTAAGTATCATTATTATTTTGGTTACTTTTTTTTTCTTTATTTATGAATTTATTGTAACTATTTTCACATTATTCATAAATGCATAAATCGCTGAACAGTACTTTTTGCCCCACTCCCCTCAGGAAGGAGGTTGAGGAGCATTAAGTGTAGAACCACTAGACTGAGGAACAGCTTCTACCCTGAGGCTGTTAGACTCATGAATCTCTAACCAGAATAATCACTGTGAAAAATCACATCATGTTGCTGCTGATCTGTTTCATGTTGCTGCTGATCTGTTTCATGTTGATGTGTTCATCCGTACTCATCTGCTCACAGACTCATGTTCGTGCTGCTGTTCGACGTATTGTTTTTGTTCTATTAGTGCTTAGTGTGTTTTTAATTACCTCGACCTTGACCTCTCTAAGTAGCTTTAAAAATCTGTTGGACTCCTGGCAAGGACCAATGCAGACATGTTCCTGTTTTTAGTTTTCTACATTCACCTTATAATCTAGCAGTTTTTGTTACTCTTTTTGCCATCTTATTTGTAAAAAAATAATAATAATAATCAACTGTATGCCTTTTTTATAACGGTCTATTGTTGTCGCTGTTGTCATCATTCTTTGTTGAAATCAGGTCTCTCTTGTAAATGAGTCCTCGAGGCTCAATGGGATTTACCTGTCTAAATAAAGGTTGAATGAATGAAAAATGAACGTTATTCTTAGTTCATATCTTAGATCTTATTACTGTTTTTCTTTTATATTTTAATACTTCTGTTGGATGTAATTGGGACCTTGTGTACACAATTTCGTTCCACCACATGCACCACATGTGGTGCGAACGACAAATAAAGAATCTTGAATCCTTGAAGATTTTGTTAAAAACAATGACACAAACGCCGACAAAAGATGGGCAAAAAGGCCTCAGGAGAATAATACACCAATAATAAATGTGCACGAGACACTCTTCTACCTTTAATAACTAAGAAAATCTGGACAAGGCATATTTTACAGAACAGTCTGTCATGAGCTGTTTCCACGTTTCTGTTATCCTTCTCACATGCACTCTCCTTCTCAAGACAGCACTTTGTCATTTTGTAACCTGGATTGTGCATTTGAATTTGTATGCAGCTCGAGTAATGTTTTCTGCACGTGCACCCCCCCATACACCTCAGTGCCACGCACGTCATCCTCTGCTCTCTGCAGGCGACGACAAGGTTACTCTGACCTCTAGCACCACATGACATCAGACAGAAACACATAAACACACCACTGATCTATTGCAATAACATTTATATGTGCAAGAACGTTTATAAATGTATATGTACGCGAAGAAAAAAAAATGTTTGGACGTGGTTTCCCTCAAGCGAGGTTTCAAACATCGTCTTCAGCTGTATTTGTGCCTGCAGCCGCATCAGTGTTTTCTCTATGTTCACAACGCAACCGTTACTTTTCTCCCCGTCACTGAACTCCTCACCTTCATCTTCAGGTTCTGGTGATTTGTGTTATTAGAAGTATGTTTCTCTCAGGTCCACAATGGATTTTATTTTTGCGCCTCCTCTGTGGTGTTTTATTTCAACGGCACATGCAAATCACAGCGGGATAAAAAATCTCAACGCCATACATGGAAGCAAATAAATTCTGACCTCTGTGGAACGCACCTGACAAACATTTTAAATCAGCAGTTTAAGCTGTGCTGCTAAAGCCGGCTGCTTTTGCAGAGACTAAATTTATGCAAAACGACAGCGCTGATAAGAAGCCATGCCGTGCATGAAGCTGCTCTCTTTTCCTTTCGTATAAAACATCTGTAGCTCAAAATAGAGCCTCCATCAGCAGCGGGAGCATCAATAATCACAAAAACACAATCTATGCAGCGTTAATCAGTGAATGATGCAGGACTGTAAATATAATGTCTTTGACCAAAGAGGCTTTAGCACATCAGAGATTTCCACCTGGAGCATTGTATTTGCTCCAGCACATCCACTTCAATCAGAAAGAGCTGCCTGATTGAGGTGTCTGTAGGAGGTATAGAGCTGTATTTACAGATTACATAAGCAATGTGTACGTAGCAGGAGCTTTTCCCCTTCTGTTCAGTACTGATGTTGATCGAAGAGGTCGCGGATGTATTTCTGTCTTCACTAGTGCATTAATAAGAAACTACAGCTGGATAAATTCCTGAAGACAGATGTTGGAAGCCTTCATCAGCCAACAGCTTTCGTGAATGATTTAAATTTAAGTTTGAGGTTGTCACTCTAAAAGCCTGTCAGAACGTTCCAGAGAGTTGCCCTCTGCATTTTATAAGCATTGTCATAAAGACCATTAAAAAAATCATAAAGAAAAACAATTTTTCCTGACTATCAATGATTAATGTGTTCCCTCCACAAAAACAGTGTCTCTATTGTCCTCTTGTCCTATTCCCATATAGATGTTTACCTACAGATTATGCCCATGGTCATGTGACTCAAGCGTCCATGTGGGTTTTTTGTGAATTCAACCAAAACCTCTTTGTTTACGTTGACTACGTAACAAACTGAGTAACCTCCTTTAAACTTGATATGATTCATGATAACTTTGTTTTTGTTTGATGTTATATTTTGTGTTTGCAGTAAGGTGGTTCCAGGAAGTAAAGTGGCAGCTCACTGGAAAAACAGCTTGCCATTTATTGGCTAATGCATTTTTGTAAATTTGTTTTACAAAGTTGAAAGTCAAGGACATCTCCACAGGACTTCAGCCTCTGTTCACTGAATTTCACAAACAGCTGAATTTTGAAACGGGTTGACATCATTTTACCTGGAGGTATCATGACCTCCCAACCATTATGGAGCTGCAGAACTCATCACCAAATAAAAGCTAGAATAAATTTGACCTTCCTGTTGAAACCTCACCCCCCCACCTTTTACTAACTCCATCCTTCACTGCCACTTATTTTCATTCAGATGAAGGTTTTATTTGACACCACCCAACATGGAGCCGGTTTTACCTGTCCAAAGAGTGAGTGGAGGATGGTCCTTAAGTTGATGTCGGACACGGAGGAAGAAGCGCTGGACCTCCGCGAGCGGCGGGACGACCTGCTGGATGGGGGGACAGGGGAGCAGGAAGAAGGGGATGGACTGCTGACCGGACCCCCGCCAGCACCACTGGCCGAACTGCCCCCACGGTCCCTCGGCTCACAGAGGGGGGTCCTGTCGTCATTGCTGTCCGACAGGGAGCGCCCCCTGGGGCTGTGACACCCCCGGTGGTGCCCGGGCTCGGCCGGTGCTGCAGCGGGCGGGCGGTCGTCTCGGTGCTTCTTGCGGTGGTGGTGGTGGTGGTGGTGGTGGTGCGTGGGTTTGGATGTCCTGCAGCGCTCGCTCGCGCCTCCTCGGCCTGCCTCTCCGTTGCACGCAGGCGGACCGGGGACTGGGCAGGGGGGGACGCGGTGCTGGGACTTGGACTTGCCCCGGGTGGCTGCGATGTTCTCCGGACTCCCGACGAGGGAGGGGTGGCACAGGGGTCTCCGCGCACTGACGTCGCCCTCAGCCGACCAGGAAGCCTCGCCAGGTTTACTGGTGGTCTGCAGCGCGGCGGGACGGTGGTGGTGCTGGTGGGGATGCGGACCCCTCCGGACCCCTGAGGCGGGCTCAGGGAGGCGCGGAGGTCTCCTCGCCGCCGCGGAGGATTTCAACAAGGAGGTGGTGGATTCAGATTTGGGGAAGGAGGCGCTCATTGCGGCGGATCGGCTGTCGTCGACATCATGTTCCCTCCGGTGGTGAAGCAGGAGATGTGCGGGGCTGATGCGGTCACAGAGAGTCCCGCAGCCGGACAGAGGAGGCACGAGCAGCAGCTGCGGCTCCGCACAGCGCGTCACCTGCAGCTTGGCTCTGCTGCCGTGACGTGTGCGGTAGAACAAAAGACTCCAACATACATCAGTGTTCTCATAAAACACAACAGAATATTTGGAACCACCTTTAGCCAATAAAAATAAAATGTGATAAAAAACAAACAAACAAACAAAAAAAACAATGTTGAAGCTGTTGCTTTTGGTTCAACAGGGTCACCACAGCTTGAAAAGAAAAAAACAGGCAGAGATGCAAAGTAGAAAGTAACCCTCAAAAAACATTGTGCAAAAAAAAAAAAAAAAAAAAAAAACCTAAACAAAAAAAACAGTCACTTGTTCAATAACAGTGAGAAACGATGAGTGAAAGAAGACAATTACTAGTTTGATGTACTTTGTATAAATTATGTAACAGGTGCAAAAGATCTTGGGAAAAATTTAGACAGCTCAAAATTTACATTATGTTGAACAATCTGTGGTAAAATCTCCAATAAATCCTAAAACTTGAACAGTGATTGCATAAAAAAAATTGCCAAATTAGTTCAGTTACAACTTTCTGTTTATTTGACTGACGTCCATCCATTATCTTTATCCGCTTCAGTCTTTTACTGTTATCAGTCACAGGTTGTGACTGTTGTTCTTGTCCTATTGTCACTAATCAGTTCATGACTTATGTCATCAATCAGTTCATTTGATTAATAATCAGTTCATTTATTATTAATCTGTTCATGTTGTAGAGCCGTGGATCCGCTCTGTTCACGGCCTTTTTCAGCCTCTCCTCTCTCCCGTTGAAAACTTTTCCAGGGCGTTCACGCATTCGGAACGCATGAACTACGCAGTGCGTGTCTGTGCATGGTGCGCATAATTACGCAACGCGTATTCACGCACATGGAGAGCTAAGTGACAAGATGTTTTTTTTGGCAAGTGGGCGCTTCATATTGTGTTCGAATGGACCCAGTGAGGCGGAGACTACATCGTGCTTCGCCTTTAACCCACCAGCGACAGCCTTAAAGGGCGAAGCCTATACGAAATAGTACGTTGGTTACGTACTGTAACCCCAGATTCTATGAGTATAGGCGTAGCCCTTTAAGCGTCGGGCCTCACTGGCTCCTAAATGGCAGAAGAAAAAGCTATTTGGGAGCCGATTGCCCGCTCTTAATGTAATTTATACGGACCAGGTGGGACCCACACAACAGGTGGGCATGGACTAAATTTTTCAGTGCGATGCTTTGCATGACGGGATAAAACCCACCAGCGACAGCTCTTAAAGGGCTACACCTATACTCATAGAATCTGGGGTTACAGTAGTAACCAACGTTTTATTCACCTGCAGTTCATTGTCAATGCTGGCTGACTGAATAAAGTTTGAAAAAAAAAAAACCCTGCAGCACGAATTGAACAGAGCAAGGGGGAAGGCGGAAGCAGAGCAGTGGTGTTTACAAAGGAATTTAAATAAATTTTACAAATGACCGACGCAGCGAAAACTGTTCGACCCAAGTCCTCCAAAGTGTGGGAGCTCTCACAAAGATAAAAACTGAGAAACATGCAGCTTTGAAAAAGTGACGACACAACACGGGAGAACCACGGAGATGAAACGTAAACATGTCCGAGTCAAGGGAGCTCAGCAGCAGCAGATACTGTACATGTGTCAGTCCCATGTGTTGCAGGTGAGTCTCTACAATATCCGATGTTCTGTTTCCAAGTGAGAAAACGTAACGTCAGTCTGTCTGTAGCTGAAGCTGCTGCTTGTTAGCTGATTAATGACGGTGATAGAGAACGTGTGTTACTTTTTATTTCATTTAATTGGTACAAGCAGTGTTTAAATGTGATTTGTAAATAAATATAACACAAAGATAATAATCTAATGATTATCCAAAAAAGTTAAATCTGGTCCTCTGGACATTCAAAAAAACAAAACAAAGCAAAAAAAACCCCCACTTTTAATCCAGGTTACAATAATCCACACTTTTAATCCAGGTTACAATAATCAACACTTTTAATCCAGGTTACACTCTTCCCTCAAGGACACATTTTACTAAGTAGTTACATATTGTGCAGGTATAAAGATACATTTGTATATATTTTTGTGTACATTATTTTTTAAGCTATTTGACCAACTTTTATTTTTTTTAATTCAATATTTTACTAACAGAATAGTCAAATAGCAACCTGTTTTTTGTGCGAATTAATATGTCAGTCAAATGTTCTATTTTGGAATAAATGGATGGAAATTACCCCCCCCCCCCCCCCCAAAAAAAAAAAACAACAAAAAACAAAACAAAACAAAAAACCAAACAAACAAAAAAACAAAGATTAACCGGGAAAAATAATCGGGTGATTAATTGATTATTGAAATAAACGTTAGATAGATAGTTGCAGCCCTCATATATATATATATATATACACAGACAGACAGACAGACAGACATACAGACATACATACATACATACATACATACATACATACATACATACATACATACATACATACATACATACATACATACATACATACATACATACATACATACATACATACATACATACATACAGTGGATAAAGTGCCTTGCGAAAGTATTCGGCCCCCTTGAACTTTTCAACCTTTTGCCACATTTCAGGCTTCAAACATAAAGATATTAAATTTTAATGTTTTGTGAAGAATCAACAACAAGTGGGACACAATCATGAAGTGGAATGAAATTTATTGGATGTGTCAAACTTTTTTAACAAATAAAAAACTGAAAAGTGGGGCGTGCAATATTATTCGGCCCCCTTGCGTTAATACTTTGTAGCGCCGCCTTTTGCTGCAGTTCCAGCTGCAAGTCTCTTGGGGTTTGTCTCTATCAGTTTTGCACATGGAGACACTGAAATTCTTGCCCATTCTTTCTTGCAAAACAGCTCGAGCTCAGTGAGGTTGGATGGAGAGCGTTTGTGAACAGCAGTCTTCAGCTCTTTCCACGGATTCTCGATTGGATTCAGGTCTGGACTTTGACTTGGCCATTCCAACACCTGGATACGTTTATTTGTGAACCATTCCATTGTAGATGTGGCTTTATGTTTTGGATCATTGTCTTGTTGGAAGATAAATCTCTGTCCCAGTCTCAGGTCTCTTGCAGACTCAAACAGGTTTTCTTCCAGAATGGTCCTGTATTTGGCCCCATCCATCTTCCCTGTCCCTGCTGACAAAAAGCAGGCCCAAACCATGAAGCTGCCACCACCATGTTTGACAGTGGGGATGGTGTGTTCAGGGTGATGAGCTGTGTTGCTTTTATGCCAAACATATCGTTTTGCATTGTGGCCAAACAGTTTGATTTTGGTTTCATCTGACCAGAGCACCTTCTTCCACATGTTTGGTGTCTCCCAGGTGCTTGTGACAAACTTTAAACAACACTTTTTATGGATATCTTTGAGAAATGTCTTTCTTCTTGCCACTCTTCCATAAAGACCAGATTTGTGCAGTGTACGACTGATTGTTGTCCTATGGACAGACTCTCCCACCTCAGCTGTAGATCTCTGCAGTTCATCCAGAGTGATCATGGGCCTCTTGGCTGCATCTCTGATCAGTCTTCTCCTTGTTCCAGATGAAGGTTTAGAGGGACGGCCGGGTCTTGGTAGATTTGCAGTGGTCTGATACTCCTTCCATTTCAATATGATTGCTTACACAGTGCTCCTTGGGATGTTTAAAGCTTGGGAAATCTTTTTGTATCCAAATCCGCCTTTAAACTTCTCCACAACAGTATCTCAGACCTGCCTGGTGTGTTCCTTGGTCTTCATGATGCTCTCTGCACTTTGAACAGAACCCTGAGACTATCACAGAGCAGGTGCATTTATACGGAGACTTGGTTACACACAGGTGGATTCTATTTATCATCATCAGTCATTTGGGACAACATTGGATCATTCATAGATCCTCACTGAACTTCTGGAGTGAGTTTGCTGCACTGAAAGTAAAGGGGCCCAATAATATTGCACGCCCCACTTTTCAGTTTTTGATTTGTTAAAAAAGTTTGACACGTCCAATAAATTTCATTCCACTTCACGATTGTGTCCCACTTGTTGTTGATTCTTCACAAAAAATAAAAAATTTATATCTTTATGTTTGAAGCCTGAAATGTGGCAAAAGGTTGAAAAGTTCAAGGGGGGCGAATACTTTCACAAGGCACTGTAGCTTCTTCATAATGACAAAATGGGATTTCTGCACTGTTGTGCCTCCCTGCGCCGCTGCAGATAATTGCACCTGGATGAAGCGGTCTTATCTTTTTTTCTTTTGAATGCTTCATATATTTATATGCATCTGTTGGAAGATGCCTTTCACAAGAGCCAAGCATAGAAAACCCACTTAAGAACTGAGAAATCTGGATTGAAATCTATAACGATCATGCTGAAGTGAGAACTCTGACACCGTCTGGTTAAATAAGATACTCAACCATTTATTAAATGTACAGAAATACTGTTCAAAATCCACACAAGAAAGTGTTAAGGAATAAATCCTTGATTCAAATGTAAACAAAATGGTTGCCCCATCATACAGTGCGTAAAGCCAATGGGACTCATTTTCCATAAGTGGATTAGCAGCACTGCTGATTTAAAACCCAATTATGCTAAATGTGTGCGTCAGTGTCATCAGATGTAAACAGTGTGCAAATGATCACACCTTTGTAAACATTAGAACTGAACAGATGCGTATCTGGAAATTGCGGTGAACAAGTGAAGCAGGTTTTCTTTTCACAACCTTTTTGACTGTCTGTCCACAAAGTGCTGCTGAATAATTACTGAGACTGGTATAATGGAGAACCACACTGCGCTGCAAAATTACAGTGATCGAAAGAAAATCATCACAGAACAACGGAGTGAGCACTTCAGAAACATTTTACAGAACATACTAATCAAATCTATCAAAAATGATTGGCTTTTTGATTCAGAGAACGACTCGCAATCACTTATAACTCAAGACAACACAATAGTTAAAGCACTGAAGACGATCGTTTCAGAATATCTTGAACCAGTCAGGGTGTTTATTTCCCCGCTTCAACCTTATTTACAGCAATACAAACCTGATATCAAATGCAACCAAACGAACAGAGTTGAATAAATTTACCAAAAACACTTATCTTTAGTGTCACAGCACTTGGTGACTCAAAAATAAACCCACCTCAACCTAAAATGTGCTTTTTTGATCCATGTCTTGTGAAAGCCTGACTTGATTTTCACAGGAGAGCACAGTTTACCACACGGCAGGCGTCAGGACGGAGACAGGAACCATCATCGTCGACATTGGACCTCGATAATCAACCCAGATATAAGAATGAAAAATAAATGTTCATCTTGTATTTGACGAGAAGCATTTTAGATGTACCGGTACTACACAAACATCATAACAGCACTACTACTTGGAGATTTATGACCTGTTTAGTTTGGATTTCCAAGAATCTCGACTGGATTTGACCCAACATGAAATTCTATAAATGAAACCATCCTGCGCTGATTCTTGGTTTTGGCTTGAAGTGTTTATTTGAATACGTTATTTTGCAAGTTAACAAAAGCTGCGTTGTGATTTTATAAAATATTTAAAAGGTAATACAATCAAGGACAATATGTCAACATTCTGTGAGCAGGACGGCCCGGTCATTCATCGACAGGAGAACATTCTAAAATTAATGAAATGTGCGTTTTTGAAGTAATTATTGTGCAACCCTCCTGGTCGACTGAACCAACTGGGGATGCAGAGTCAAAACAACAACCAATAAATGATCTTTAATTTTAGCCCTTGCAGAAACGTGTGCATGTGTTCCATGTTGTCAGGGTTTGAGATGAAGGATCCCCAGCTGAGAAAGGATTACCCAGTGACGCCACTTCAGTAAAAGCATGGATCCATTATTCTCTTGGAGATGACCTGAAGTGAGTTATGCTGCAGCCATGTTGTGTCCTTTGCTCTTTACTTCTAACAATTTAAACGACAACCAAAATAAACAAGGTACGAGCTGCGCCCAAACTTTCAGAAAACACGTTGCTCCAGGATTAGCCCACAATTTGAAACATTTAGCAATTATCGAGTCATATCACTGATTTATGTGTATGTATGATTTATGTCCCATTATATTCTAGTTTAGGGATGCACAATATTATCGGCAGGGTATCGATATCAGACGATGTTACAGATAAAGTTAAATATCAGACATCGGCCATTACATCAAAATAACTCACATATATAAAAGGCTTCTGTTTTAAGTTAATTTTTATTTTAAGAAACTGTCAAGTATATCTATTAATACACTACTACTTATACACTTTTCACTTGTCGCTTGTGAACAGGTTGAGTTTTGAGTTGTGAAAATTTACAAATTTGCACCGTTCGAGTGTTGTCATTGTGTTAGAGAGTAAATATCGTGAATAAATTTGACATTAAACGTAATCTAAGTTGAAGTGTTGCATCATTTTCAGACCCCTTTTTGGCGTCTGCATTTGGTAGCAGGCCAAACTGACAAAGACCACGCACAATAATGTATTTTACTTCCACAGCAGAGAACGTTATCTAGTCTCTAAGTAGGTCTAGGAAAAAAAATATCGGTATTGGTTATCGGCCAAATAAGCTTTAACATATCGGCCAAAAATTCAATATTGTGCATCCCTATTCTAGGTGTTTAAAAATAATAAATGATAATCTGCGCTGAAGGTGTACCCTTACCCTGCCTGCCTAATGTGTCATTTTGTACATTTAAATTAAAAACCAAAAGAAAGATTTGGCAGAAGGGTGCCATTTTTAAGCTGTGTGGACAATTGTGTACTTACAGTGCTCTGATCAAATGCATGGATGCATTTCACAGCTATAGAATAAAAGCAGGTGATAAAAGAGGCCCAATGTTTGGTCGTCTGCTAAGAAGAGTTGGGAGCAACACTGTGCGAGCTGGAGAAGATGCACACAGTGAAAGCTGGTCTGGAGGCAGGAAAGTGTTGCTCCCTAACACTACAGACACGTATCTTAATGCTATCCGTCCCCTGCTCGGACATGGTTCTCACACACCTATTTCCCTTCTTTGTCCTCTAAGCGGCCTGGAGTGAAAATGTAGTCCAAGGCTTGTCTCTCGGCAGCGGCCACGTTGGGGTGCCACAGGTCCACCATGAAGACCACCCTGGGGCCATCTTCTGAACTGCCTGTGCACACAAACAAGGCCAAGAAAAAATATATAAGGAGCCTATTTTGTTTTAAAGCCTACAGGTGCTGGTCATAAAATTTGAATATCATGAAAAAGTTTATTTATTTCAGTAATTCCATTGAAAAAGTGAAATGTTGATGATTATAACTGACAATTAAGGAAAACATCAAATTCAGTATCTCAGAAAATTAGAATATTGTGAAAAGGTTCAATATTGAAGACACCTGGTGCTACACCGTAATCATTTAATTAACTCAAAACACTTGAAAAAGGCCTTTAAATGGTCTCAGTCTAGTTCTGTAGGCTACACAATCATGGGGAAGACTGCTGACTTGACAGTTGTCTAAAATACGATCACTGATACCTTGTACAAGGAGGGCAAGACACAAAAGGTCATTGCTAAAGAGGCTGGCTGTTCACAGAGCTCTGTGTCCAAGCCCAATAAAAGAGAGGTGAAGGGAAGGAAACAATGTGGTAGAAAAAAGTGTACAAGCAATAGTGATAACTGCACCCTGGAGAGGATTGTGAAACAAAACCCATTCCAAAATGTGGGGGAGATTCACAAAGAGTGGACTGCAGCTGGAGTCAGTGCTTCAAGAACCACCATGCACAGACATATGCAAGACATGGATTTCAGCTGTCACATTCCTTGTGTCAAGCCACTCTTGAACAAGAGACGGCATCAGAAGCGTCTTGCCTGGGACTGCTGCTGAGTGGTTCAAAGTTATGTCCTCTGATGAAAATAAATTTTGCATTTCCTTTGGAAATCAAGGTCCCAGAGTCTGGAAGAAGAGAGGAGAGGCACATAATCCACGTTGCTTGAGGTCCAGTCTCAAGTTTCCACAGTCAGTGATGGTTTGGGGTGTCATGTCATCTGCTGGTGTTGGTCCACTGTGTTTTCTGAGGTCCAAGGTCAACACAGCCATCTACCAGGAAGTTTTAGAGCAGTTCATGCTTCCTGCTGCTGACCAACTTTATGGAGATTCAGATTTCATTTTCCAACAGGACTTGGCACCTGCACACAGTACCAAAGCTACCAGGAACTGGTTTAAGGACCATGGTATCTCTGTTCTTAATTGGCCAACAAACTCACCTGACCTTAACCCCATAGAAAATCTATTGTGAAGAGGAAGATGTGATACACCAGACCCAACAATTCAGAAGAGCTGAAGGCCACTATCAGAGCAAACTGGACTCTCATAACACCTGAGCAGTGCCACAGACTGACCGACTCCATGTCACGCCACATTGCTGCAATAATCCAGACTAAAGGAGCCCCAACTAAGTATTGATGCTGTACATGCTCATACTTTTCATGTTCATACTTTTCATGTTCATACTTTTCAGTTGGCCAACATTTCTAAAAATCTTTTTTTTTAATTGGTCTTAAGTAATATTCTAATTTTCTGAGATACTGAATTTGGGGTTTTCATTAGTTGTCAGTTATAATCATCAACATTAAAAGAAATAAACATTTGAATTATATCAGTCTGTGTGCAATGAATGAATATAACAGACAAGTTTCACTTTTTGAATGGAATTACTGAAATAAATCAACTTTTTCATGACATTCTAATTTTTTGACCAGCACCTGTATATTACTGCACTTATATCAGACACATAAGGATTTTCCCTACATTTTCTTAATGTTATACATTTTCAGGTCAATAGTCAATCTGCAAAAAAAAAGGGAAAAAAGTAGCATTGCAGCAAGGAAAGCCTGTCGCCCACCGCTTTACATATTTTAAACAAAGATCCAATGAAATGTGTTAGTGATCAAAGTATGTGTTGGGGACGTGTTTCAGCTACTGCACCAAACCTTCGCCCAATGTCTGTAAAAATGATTAAACATTATTTATTCTAACGTTATCTTAAAATCTGTCCACTGGCTTATGAGATGTTTTGCTAACAGACAGACAACAAAACATGCACACGTGCACACATGCTCACTAAATACAGTTTCCATCCCTTCTCACCCTCATGGAAAGCCCTGTGGAGGAAGGAATCATCAAAAAGCAGACAGCTGCCCTCAGACCAGCACTGTGGCTCTCCACCAACTACAAGCTCACAGGATGGAGGCACTCTGAGTCCTAACGGAGAGAAATAACAATGTATTAGGTGCAGAGTTTGATATATATTTTGATATATAACCTAACGTCTCTTCATTGCCTTGTATCTGTACAGTGTGCAGCTTCAAAAGCTCTTATTAAAGGGTTTGCCTTCAGAATGATAAACACGTCTATTTATAGTCATTTCACAGATGGAAATAGAATCAAAGCTCAGGTGCAGAGAGAAAACAATAACCATTTCTGCACAAGGCGCTGTGTTTCAGCCTCCATTACCCAGGAGGATTCAGTCCGAAATAACAGCGGCTGATTTACTCTTTGGCTTCTACTCTGTGTTTAAATACGGCTCTCTGTGAAATCATCTGCTTCTCTGTTGCGTTCAATACACGCTGAGCTGCATCACGTTCGGTTCACTTCACTCTCTTACCCACGTGGCAGCGCAGCCTGACATTAGTCGGCCCGTAATGCTCGGTGATGAGCGCCCCAGGCGTCAGCACGGAGAAGCAGGCGTTTCCGAAAACGTTGTTGGCGATGAAGGTGCGCAGCTGGCCCAGCACCCGCCAGGCCCGCGGACATCTCCGGACATTTAGAACCAGAGGAGTGCCTTGGTTCACCAGGTAGTAGGTCCACCACTGCCCTCGAGGAGTACTGTTTGCTTTCCACCCCGGCGGGAGGGAGGAGCCGCTGCGGGCTGGAGGTTGGTGGTAGATGCTCTCAAACTCAGCCAGAAGTGCAGGGAAGCTCTGCTCCAGCAGCTCCACGTCATGCCTCTGCACTTCTCTGGAGAAGAAAGGGGCCGACGGCAGGTCGGGGAGGAAGAAGACTTCCGGTCGCTGGATCGTTGGTCGGCTGTTGAGGTACCGTCCCTGGTCACGAACTCCCTTGTGCACCCTCCCCATACCTGACCAGGTGTAGCGCTTGGCGTACTCCTGCAGGCTGTGATAGAGCTTCTGGTTGAGGCTCTCGCCTGCGCTGGTACAGCGGAAACACTCCGACGACTGGCAGAAAGCAAAGCCATTCTGCTCCTCCAGCATTGAGCCGTGCTTCCCTTTCCCCCTGCCCCGACAGTCTGAACTCATGAAGCCCCCAACCACCCCTCCTATCCGACTGGACCCACTCAAATACCTCCCACGCAGAGGGCTGGAACCGTGTTCGCGGCCCACCCTGTAACAGTACCACATAAACAGCACCAGCACGCACATGACTGTGACAAACGCGCAGACCTCACACTCCCTCACAGACTGCATCCCACCAGCCACCATCTCCCTCACACTCTCCAGTGACCACTCCATACTCCTCCTGCTCCCCTGAAGTGATGGAAAAATATAAAAGTCCTGATGAAGGATGAGTTAATGCGTCTCGTGTTGAGTGTGATAGAAAGGGGCCTGAAACCACACGCAGGGTGTTATGGAGCAGCTCTCCTGGCCCGCTCTGATGTAAACAGCCTGCCGATGTGATTTAACGCGCTCGCTCCTCAGGCCTAACATTTCAGCGCTCTGCGACGAGGGACGGCTTCTCCTGGCATGATGCTGTTCTGCTGCTGCTCGCTGTTTCAGACAAATGCAGACAGACACTGCGCCGTGGGTCGACCGTTCTCTGCAAAACAAAGAGAGAAGGAGATGAGACGAGGACAGGACGCTGCGATTTACAGGAGGGTGCTTCCTCTGTGACTGTGAAACACGTCGTCGTCAGAGTTCGACAGCACGTTTCCATTTTTATTTTTACTCGCAGGGTGTCAGAAACACCTGCCGGACGTCAACATGGCACATGCAGTGAACACAAATTGGATTTTGGCTTCCCAGTGCTGCACTCTATAAAACCATGAGTCACAGGCACATTGCTGCATTTAACACAAATATCTGTCTTTCCTATTACTGAACACACACACACACACGCACACGCACACGCACACACACACAGTGAATTATGTAAACAGAGCTGAAAGCCACCCACACTTCTAATAGGCATTCACAGGTTTCTCAGCAGGAGCTGTACAAATGGATCCTCAGGGAGGGAAAGAGGAGTGTGTGTGTGTGTGTGTGTGTGTGTGTGGGGGGGGGGGTACGTGGTCGTATGCAGTATTAGAAGTAAAAGCAGCTTGTATTACATGACAATGATTATATAATGCTAATGGAGCAGCAGCTAGGAGTGAGCAATGCGTCAAGTCTGAACTCCAAAGATGCGCTCTCACCAAAAATGGTCCTGTTATCAGATCCTCCCCCACATCCTGTCTGACAGCACCAGGACGCCCCCACACCCCCCTCTCCCCCTCCACACTCCCTCCCCCATTAAGCCTGTTAGATCAAGAAGCCACGAATAACACACCCTGTTGTATTCCTCCATATCAATCCAGAGACATGCGAGTTTAGACCCCACACGCACATTCACACTAAATCCCAGTGGGCGCTGAAGCCCTCGGTAAATAAACAAATACATAAATAAATAAATAAACAACTAAAAACGAACCGAGCTCATCAAGACTGCAGCTACGTGGATGTTTGATGCGCCGGTTCGCGCGCACTTTGCGTCCTTACCTACTCAGCATCCATGGCCGTCGGAGAGGAGAGGCGCGCGGGTGTTGCTCCGAGCAAAGCTGCGCACCACTGCAGTGCACGCGGCGGCATCATAGGAAGCAGCGCCCAGATTGTACGAGCTCGCGCTCACGAGCCTCGTTATGGATGAAATATATATTCACGCAAACGCCGAGCCATGCGCGCGCTGGACAACAGCGTGCGAAAGGCTTCAGGAAACACTCGTGTAAATACTGACGCCTCACCAGGGAAGAGCCAGCGTCAAGTACAGGAAGAAGCATTTTAAACTGCTTCCGCCTGATCCTTTCAAAATAAAACATGAAGGAATGCATATCGCCCACAGCCTTCCACGCCTTAGTTTAAAAAACTCACAAGAATAAAATTGTAGTAATAACATTTTGTGCGTGTGTTATCTCACAAGTTGTCACGCTTTATGTGTTTTAATGACTGTCAGCTACTACCACATCAACCTTTGACATCTGCAAACTGGACTGAGCTGTTTTTGTCTCAAGTGGAGGAGTGAAGTATGTGGGAATCTTGTTCATGAGTGATGGTAGCAGGAGGAGAACGGACGGATCAGAGTCAAAGAGATTTAGTTGTCACACACACCACATGTGGTACACGTGGTGGAACGAGATTACTGTATGTACACGGGTCCCAGTTACATCCAGCAATAAAATGTAAAAGAAAAACAGTAATAACATCTAAGATATGAACTAAGAAAAACATCAGCTAAATATACACTAAGCACTAATAGCATAAAAACAATACGCTGAACAGCAGCACGAACATGAGTGTGTGTGAGCACATGAGCACACATGAACACACCAACATGAATCAGATCAGCAGCAACATGAAACAGATCAGCAGCAACATGAATCAGATCAGCAGCAACATGAAACAGATCAGCAGCAACATGATGTGATTTTTCACAGTGATTATTCTGGTTAGAGATTCATGAGTCTAACAGCCTCAGGGTAGAAGCTGTTCCTCAGTCTAGTGGTTCTACACTTAATGCTCCTCAACCTCCTGCCTGAGGGGAGTGGGGCAAAAACTGTGTGTGCTGGGTGAGTGGGGTCCTTCATGATGCAGGTGGCCCTCTTCCTGCATCTGGAGGTGTAGATGTCTGTGATGGTGGGGAGGCTGACTCCAACAGACTTCTGTGCAGCCTTCACCACTCTCTGCAAAGCTTTTCTTTCTGCAGCTGTGCAGCCTCCATGCCACACGTTGATGCTGGAGCACAGGATGCTCTCCACTGCAAACCTGTAGAAGGAGGTGAGGACTGAGCTTCCCTGTGGAGTGCACTGTGGAGAATCAGGGTCTCATCCTCAGTAATCAGGGTGTTGCTTTGGTCAGTTTGGGTGAATAAAGCACAGAGTCAAAAGGCAGAGCACTCGATTTATTGGTTCATATATGTTCCAGCCTTCATGGTCATGAGATCATGACCAAAAGAACAAGACGCTGGATACCACGACTGAATGGAGCTTCTTGGAGACAGACTCTACTTCAAGCTTCTTGAAGTTAAGCTGCTTGCTGTCTTTCCCATCAAAAGGAGTCAAGTGAGGCAGTGGTTCTGATCAGGGTGTGTCCTGGACTCCTACCTTTGGAATGTTTCCAGTGACAAATCCACTGGAAAGAGACCCTGGTGCAGAAATAGAACTTGCTGTTGGATGTATCTTCTCTGGTCTGGGAGTGCTTCCAGGTCCCCCAGGAGGAACTGGAGAGTGTCGCTGGGAAGAGGTATGTCTGGGTTTCTCTATGAACCTGTTGCAACCCGATATGGATAAGCTCTGGAGATGGAGATGGAGAAAAAAACAAGTCAAAACCTGTGGAAAAAATGTGCACTTGTTTTTGGTCATTTTTGCCTGCAGAAACAATTAGCACAAATAAAATCTGATTGTTAAGTCGCAGGATAAAAGTGTTCACTTTCACATATGACACCAGCAACAAGCTTATAATTCATCATTTATTTCTGTTTATTTCTGTGAATGTGTTTGCATTCCAAATTTAAAGGCAACAATTACAATATTTTAAAATATCTGCAATTAATTTCAAAATGAGACTAAATAGACTTACTAGGACAGAAGTCAATTAAATCAATTAAAAACAAGGCTGAAGTGTGTTCACTTGTTAGTTTCAGAGTTTTTAGGTTAAATACTTGTGGAAACAAAATTACCCAGACTGACAGTGTCATGTTGCTTCTGTACACTGACAGGAGGGTGAACAGTGTGAACGGGTGAGCGGGGTCCTTTTTGGTTGCTTTATAGATGCATCATGTGGTAGAAGTCTGTAATGTGTGGAAACACAAGAGTTTTATGATCCAGCACGTTAAAAACCAGACAGGGTTGCCTCTGTTCTTTGGTGAGAGTGGCTGTTTGAGACTAACTTCCTGTTCCTCAGTGTTGAGCATTTTTAGTAATGGAACAAATATTGAGGAACCACAATAAGGTTCTCCTCCAGGTGAACACCAATGTTGACAATTTGTCTTCAGTGAGTAACGATCACTCTGTTGCCTCTTGCAGTCATTAAACGCCTCGTCCATATTGTCCACATTCAGAGTTGACTTTGCACCAGTCTGTCACACATCTCTTCTGCACGCTGACTCGTTTTGCTGATCGCACTGTTCACGACCATTGCATTGATAAGCTGGTTGATCTAGTTGGAGCTGTGCACTGCTGCTCAGTCATGAGTCAGCAGAGTGCACTGAGCACATGAGCCTGAGCGGAGTGCTGCTGGAGACGTTGCTTCCTGTCCAGACCAAGACTGAGCAATGACTGTGTTGATCAGGGAACTGAAGTCTGTGGACGGCGTTCGTACGTGTGTCTGGGTGGGTGAAAACCAGATGGAGGGTGGTGGTGATGGTGTCATTCATTTGTATTAACAGGTTTACTTCTAGTTCCTGGTGACCTGTGTTCAACTGTCTGAGTTTCTAAAACCCACTGGTTTATTTTCTCATAGATTTAGCTGCTTTAATGTATAAAATGGGAAGTTTTCCAGTCAGATGTGGACCTTCAGGCAGTCAAAGTGCCATCGTCGTCAGCTTCAAGCGCAACACATACAGTACTTAAAAAGAACTACAAATAAATGGTTACGCTTGTGCAAAAAGCATCAGTGCAAAAATAATTAGACTTATTTAAAAGTGTTTTCCTCATAAATAGTGCACTAGATTTGAAATGCTAACTAAAATGTAGTAATAGGCAGAAAAACTGGTTCATCATAATCAATGAGCTCTTGGTTGGTTACATCAGTTAGAGAAATTACATTTTATATAGTTCTGTCCGTTTATAGAAAACACATTTATTCAAGTTGAAAAAATTGTTTTTGTTTTGCAGCATTTCGTTCCAAACTTGTGACTAAAACTGTTTTATTTTGAAATTATAAACGTCTGGTTTCCGGTTAGGACAAAAAATCTCTTCCGCATTCTTGAGGGTTCCCTCCGTCCATGTCCAACCTAACAGAGGTGTCCAGAAACACCGTAGCAGACAACATTTCCCAAGATGCAATGCAGCCTGTTGAATATAAAGCCACCAAGGTGGTCTTATTAAAACAATGAACACTAAATGATTCAGTTTGTTTAACTTTATCAGGAAGAAGATCCTGACACTGAACATCTCTGTGGTCTTGGCTTATTCACAATGATGTGAGTTAAAAAAGATAAAACGAGTAAAACATTATTAAAGGCTTGATCTGCATCAGAAAAATGAAACGTTTTAAAATCCATCAAACTTTCAAAAACATGCAGTTTTATTTGCAAGCTGATATTAAATTAGTGACCATCCCTTAAATCTGTTATGGTATGGTGCTATTGTTGTTAAATTTCTAACAGCAAGTGTGTAAGATAAGTTGTGCACATGTTCAAAGATGCAAAATAAACAGATTTGAAAAGAATCTCGTTCATAGCAGCATCAGAAAGAGAATTAAAGCTCCTCTCATAGTGTTTTTTTTATCATGTCAGATGAGTGTTTACCTCTCCAGTAACAAACAACCACAATCAATACACTTGTTGAATAAAACATACTTATTACAGTTTTCTCTGCAGTTTAAAGTGATAATGTGATCATTTTCATGTTTACCTTTTTGAAAATTAAGAAAAAAAAATCAAACATTTTCTGCGCTCTGTGCAGGAAGGATGAGCACGCCCCTCATCATGGGCCAACAGGTCCTCTGTCAAGTCAGAATATTTCAAATCAATCAAAACAAATTCAATCTTATTGACCGTAGAAGAAGATAAAACATGGGGAAATGCAAAATTGTTTTAGGATTGATGCTTTTTTGGCCATAATTGAAACTGTTATTGTATTATTTATACCGCGCAAATGCGCAAATTGGTCCAAAGCTGCTGTGAACTCAGACTCAAAGAAATGTTCAGAAATCTGAAAGTAATTTGTGCTTTAAGATTTAACAATGTTTTATAAGGTGGAACAAGTTTGTATCTCAATATACTTTGACAAACTAAACACCTGTGGTCTTTGCCTTTAATTGAGATCTGCTTATATATAAACTGTTTTTATAAATGCTTCTAGAAAATGACATTTATCTTTTATAAGCTGTGGGACAACATAAATTTACACTAAAAGTTTTGCTTCAGTGTCTTGAATTCAAACTTTTTATCTCCTTTGACTGACAAGGAAGCAGCACCACAAACATCTGCCCTGCAAAACGGAAACTGACTGCTTCTTGCAATCAAAGTGATGATGAGGATTGTGACCCTTTCAGGAACATCCTTCAACAAGGAGGCTCTGCGGTAGATGGCGCCATCGCTGCGCTTCTCTGCACCTCCGTCATGAACCCGCAGAGTGCGGGGATCGGAGGAGGCTCCATGATCACAGTGATGGACAGCTCTGGTAACAAACAGTCACGCATCTGCTGCAGCTGGAGTGATAAGAGGCAGAGATAACTGAGCATGATGTTTCCAAAGGTGAGGTGAAAACCATCAACTCCAGAGAGACTGCACCTTCAAACATGAAGCCTGGTCTGCTGAACTCCTGTCCCAGGTCTATGAAAATAGTGACAGCAGGTATAAACTCTAAGTATTTAAATCATATGTGTGTACCTGGTTTTTGTTATTTTTTGAAGAACTTTCTGGTGTACACATCTACCTTGTCAGAACCAGGAGTCTTTTGGGGGACCAAAGACTGGTCCTATTTGGAACACCATTGTGTTATGAGGGTTTATGACCTGAATTTGTAGAGTGTGAAAATGAGTTCCAAATGATGTCACTTTTCCTATTTGTACTGGGCTGTCAGCTGCAGACAATCCAGTT